TGAGCTCCTGGAGCTCCTTGTCGAGCGCGGCCTGCTGCTCCAAGATGGCGGCCTCACGGGTCTCGAGCTTCTTGATCTTGTCACGCATGGCTTTGACCCGCCAGCGCTGAGTCTGAGCAGAAGGCTGCTTGCTCTCGAGCGTTTTCGACTCCGCCGCCTTTTCTGCCGCCTCAACCGCGCTGGTGTCGAGCCCCTCCTTCGCCAAGAAGGTGACCACGTCCTTGTAGGAGGTGCCAGAACTCTCCACGGCAGCCTTCCTGGGCGGGGGCTTGCGTTCTTTCCAGGGCTTCGACTGCGGCGGGGCCTCGCCCTTGAGCTCTGCCACCTGCTTCTGCAGCTTCTGCAACTGCTCCAGTAGCTGACCCTGTCCTGGCGGACCCTGCGCCCAGGCCCCGCGCGGGCGAGACGTGCTGGGTGCTGGTCCTTCGGCTGCTGCTGCCGAGCGTTTGGCTGCCTGCACCACCTTGGTGGAAGCCGCCTTCCAGCACTGGCGGCAGCGGATCCTGGACGCCCAGTTCCCATCACAGCCGCAGGAGCAGGACCAGAGAGGTGTCTGCTTCGCGCCTGGGATGATGCCAGCAGGGTCCAGATGTGACGGCGCCATGGCCCGCGGGCTGCCGCGGGGGGAGCCGTCGTCGTGAGTTGGCTCGTGCCCACTACGCCGCTTCGAAGTAAGTGGGCACAAACGCGAGCTGTCGCCAGCTCAGGTAGATCAGCTTGCGCCGAAACGGCTGCGGTGAGGACATTGAATAATAAACCATTGGATAAGGAATCCAGGGCTTGGAAGCCGTTATAACAACTTCAATCGTGGAGTGGCCATGGGAATCACTACTACCCTCATCAGATGAGGAATCCTTCAGGGTCTGAAACCTCCTGCATATTCCTTAACGAGCGACCCAATCGTATGGCATGTACCGCTACGCATTGCCATAGCGTGGCATTGCATGCTATTGTATACCATATGATGCTGCCAACTCCCAGTGCAATGTTATGTTCTACTTTGCTATGCGATGCATGCGTGGACGCAAGTATATGGTCTATTACAGTGCTATGCCACTGGATACGATGCTGCTGACCCATGTAATGCAATTGCATGCGCGGCTATGTGATGCTACGCTATGCACTGCAACGGTACGCGGCCAGCCCTTTCGACCAGATCTCTCTTTCGGAGCTCGCGCCGCGCGTCGTGGTCGTGTCTCGGATTGTATGAAGGGGGGCGATCCGAGGGGGGGGAGGAGCGAATCAGCTCACGCATCTGGTTTCCCCAGGGAGCTCTGGCGCCGCAGGCAGTACGAACCCAGCTGCGGGCATCATCAGATCTTGTACGCCCCCCCTTCCACCCCCCCCCCTCCTCCTCCGACCCAGGTGATCCCGGTCGTCTTGCTTTCGGGCTGCCAGAACTCGGACCTCTTGCGGCCGCCAGGGAGCATGCGGGCGCCCCACGAGCACCCCCCCTGGCGAGGCGCACACAACTGCCAAAACAAAAAAACATCACCAGGCCGGACAACCGCCGAAAAACGACGGCGTTGCCCTCGATCCTCGACTTAGGTCGGCCCTGTCCTCCTACAGCCGGATTGTGAAAGAAAAACACATCATGCACAAACAAACATCAAACTGAATACAAAGAGCACGAAATATCGTCAACAAACTTGTTTAGAACTATTCTTGAGTATTCCTCCTGTAGAGGGTCATGCCCGATTTGATCCTCGACCGTCGGCGATCGAAGCTTGGGGGCCTTGAACCAAAAACGTGGCCCCCCTCGGAAGGCGTTCTAACCTCGAGCGCCGCCGGGCGGCCTCCGCCGCCGCCGCCGCCCAGGCAGGCGGCGAGCTTGCTCGCAGGAGGGCGGCGAAAGCGGGGGGAAGGGCGCTCTTCTCGGGTGCGCCGAGGGTCTTGATTTCAAGAGACAGCAAGCCACGATCCAACGAGGTAGCGCGCGAGGCTACCTCCGAAGGAGGTCCTCACGCCCCGAAAGCGGGGCGATGAGAGCCTCGCCTGCATCGCCGAAGCATGCACAGAACCTGCTACATAAGGACGTCGTGCTATGCGCAGCGTGGTGTATGCCGGACCACGCAACGAAGATGCACACAACACCAGGCCGGAAAGCGGGGGGTCAGGAAAGATGGGTTCAGTGCATCCTCGGCGCGAGGCGTGCCGCGGGCGAACGGGGACCAGGGTCTGGTGGACGTGCTGAAAAAAGACGACACGTAAGACTACTAACCATCATTATGAAATAAAGAAGGGACCACAACATCTAAGAGATTTCGTGGTCCTGGCCACGATACATCCACACCACCTAGCCCTCACCCTTCGACGCCTGGTGGTTTTCGAAGCATAGCCGTGGCCTCCGGCTGTTCGGGACGACTCAGGTACCCTGGAAAACTCTCGACGAGGCGCAGCCGCCAGAAATCACCCCGAGGGGAGGAAACATGGCAAGATCCAGCGAAGACTCCCCCCTTTCCTTTCTTGTGAGAGGGTCAACTCAGGGGGAAAACCATCGACCTGGAATCCGCGATACATCGCCAAACCATCGGCGATAACCCCCGACGGCGAAACTGCACGTACCTGGACACGGTGGGGAATCGGGCCCACATCGGCGATGAAAGGGCGACTGGGGGTCGATGTGCCCCCCCTGGGCCGACATGGCCCTGGGGGCCGGCCTCAAGTTCTCGTGCCACGGCTCGGGCCTCTGGCGGCTGTCCGACTCGATTCCGACAGCGCCGGAATGTCGCCGACGAGGCGCAGCTGATGGAAACCGCGCCAGGCACCCGCGACAAATTGAAAACTCGGGGGGCGCCCCCGACCTCCGATCGAAACCTCGGGCGCGGCGCGCGGCGCCGCGCCAGCGACGCCGCGGAGCCACCGCGCACAGCCTCCGCCCGCGCGCGGCCGCGGCAGCCCCCGAGGGTGCGGCCTCCGGCGCCCGAACCTGGACCGGTAAGAGTCCGACCATTTGCCTCGCGCGCGGGGAATGCCCCCTCATGCTTGTCTTCTCCTCCTCCTTTTTCCTTTTCCCCTCCCCCTCCTCCCCCTCCTCCTCCTGCTCTTCCTCCTCCTCTTCCTCCTCCCCCTCCTCCTCCTCCTTGTCCTCGTCGTCCTTGTCCTCCTCCTCCTCCTCCTCCTCCTCCTCCTCCTCCTCCTCCTACTTCTGCAAAAAGAGAGCAGGTCAGAACTCGAACGCAGCGCAGATATCCACCCCCTCAGAGCTTCAGGTGGGCCGCAGCGAAGATGTAAAGTAGCAGCAAGAAAGTGGCGAGCAACTCCCTGGCGCCCAAGCGTCCCGCCAGCGGCAGCGCTGGCACCCTTCTCGTCCTCCTCCTCCTCCTCCTGTTCCTTTTCTTCCTCCTCTTCCTCCTCCTCCTCCTCCTCCTCCTCCTACTCCCTCCTCGTCCTACTCCCTCCTCGTCCTCCTCATCATCCTCAGTTGGGCGAAAGGGGCCTCGGGCGAAGAGGGCCAGGCGAAGAGGGACTCGGGCGAAGAGGGCCTGTCCCGTTTTGGCCAGGCCTGTGGCGCTGGAGCCAAGCGATGTTGAAAAGGCGCATAGTTCAGCTCTGTGCCCACCCCGTCCCGCACACAGGGGCTTCGCTGATCCCCTCCGCCGATTTTTGGTGGGGGGAGGTGGGTGTGCGGGCCGCGTCCCCCTGACGCCGCGCGTTTTGAGCCAGGGGTGGTGGAATTTTCCATGGGGAGCCACTGGGTTCAACAAAATGCTTCCCCGCCCGCCCTCGTCGCACACATGGTTGCCAATCATGGTGGCCTCCAATGTGGTCGAGTGACGTTGCCTTCTGGTGGCTCATGCCCCTCCCGTCCCGCTGCCGAGGTGGCGAGGGAGGATGAAGAGTGGAAGATCTCCAGATTTGAATTCCCAATGGCAGGAGCCCGGCTAGGGCTAGGGCGCATAACGAATCATCAACTTACAAACATATAGGCTATCGTTGTATCATTGGCCACGGTGCGATGATAACCAAATACGATCGGAAACCAACTTTACAAAAAAAACACGAAAGAAAGTCGCCTAGACCATAACTTCGTAAGGGCATCTGCGGCTTCACATGTACCCAAGAAGCCTAAAGTGCACCCCTCTGTGAGCAGAGACTGGCGCAAGAAGCCAACTCGACCGTCGAAGAGCAGACGTTGCCTCAAAAGAACCCGCATGGACATGCATGGTACTATCACGCCCGGCGTGTCCGGTGACACGTGTCCACAAACTCCACGCTCCACGATCACTGTCGTCGCGCCGTCCGCCGTCGAAGCGGCCAATATCGGCCAATCACGGTGACGGCCCGTGCGTTGTCCAACTTTTCCACGGCAGGTCGTAGAGCTCGGAACCGCCTGTCTGCTGCAGGAGCGCCTTCGTCGACAATGGCTTCCATGCTCTTGCTATGCTCCTGGTATAAGTGGTGCGCCCGACCTTGTCCGTCACCCCACGGTCTTGCCGCTCCTCGCGCCCACGCTTCATGCAGCAGGCGCTAGCTGCGGATCAGCGAGGGGATCTGTACATACCCGCGTATGCACCACTGCCCGTTGAGCCACCGCACCACCGTCTCGCTCTCGCAATCCCCTGCCACCAACATCTCGGTGACATACTCGTGTTAGGTCGGGCATGTCCTCGTGCAGGCGGATTTTTGAAGAAAAATACAAACCGAGTCAAACAATAATCAAACATAGTAAACAAACACAGAAGCATCGCCACCAAGCTATGTTTTACCATTCTTGAATATTCCTCCCGTAGAGGGACATGCCCGACCTAATACTCGTGCTTCACTTCGTTGCTGCCCCAGCGCGACTTCCGGTAGGAGGAGGAGGATGAGGAGGAGGAGGAGGAGCAGGAGGAGGAGGAGGAGGAGCAGGAGCAGGAGGAAGAGGAACGCTCGACCACTTGTATTGTGGGGCAGCTCCAGGCTGCGGCGGAAAAATCGAGCAACTGTTTGGCATTTTGGCAGTCGCGGCTTTAAGAGGTGAAGGAGGAGGAAGAGGATGAGATTTTTTTTCAAAAAAAATCCCCCCCCCCGCAGGGCCCGTAGCGAGCCCCGTCCGTCCGTGTGCAGGGTTTGGGGCGTCACCAGGGGCACCCGCACGGGGCACCCACCTGGCCGTGCCGACCCCCAAAAGGGCCAGACCACCGAAGCGCCCTCCCCTGAGCCCCGTTCGCGGAGGTGTGCAGCATCACCAGGGGCGCCCCCACGAGGCACCCACCTGGCCGTGCCGACCCGTAAAAAGGGCCAGACCACCGAAGCCACTCCCTCCCTAGCACACACTCAACCTCAGAGATCAGCAGCCAGATCCGCATCCAGAATCATCTTCTCCACCATCATGCCGTCCCACTGCGGAGTACTAGCGGGGTTGCCACACTCGTAGACGATCATCGGGTCCGCCTCTGTACGCTCATCGTCGGGGTACACCTCCAAGCAGACAGCGCCCTCGCGAATGCCAGATATCTTCGCGACACGCCCAATCCAGGGGCCGCCAAGGAGAGTGACGAACCGACCCACGAACAACTCCAAGGGCCAAGCGTGTTGCTGGCAGAGCTCCGCGAGCGGCAACCGCCGGCGCCAGCTCACGAACTCCTCCTCATGCCATACAATCTCACGTATAATCCGCCCGGGGGCTGCGCCAGCACCAGAGGACAGCACCTGCGAACCGAAACTCCGCTCGAGCGTATTCTGGAAGTTCTTTTGCGCGTCCGCCAAGGGCTTGAGAAGTTCCGCAAGTAAAGCCTCAACGTCTCCACCGCCAGCTCCATCACGAAGGAGAGCACGACCATCCCAGCCATGACTGCCAGTACTCTCATTAGCAGCAACCACAGGAGCCCCACGATGAGGAATATCGAAGGCAACGCGCAAGGCGTCGTCCTCAGGGTACCCGTCGACGTCCATCTCGTACATCATGGAGTCCACTATGTCGCTGTCGGCCTGGTAATCGCATGGAGCAGGAAGGGCAGGAAGAGCAGCACAGCCACTAGTAGGCACACGCGACGCCGCCCTCGTCCGAGATGCAATAGCCCATGCCGTGATCACAATGTGCATCATCATCCGAAGGCTCTCGAAGAGCTTGGCCTCGGCCACCTGGCAAGGCACTGAAAGCGCAGGGAAAGCAGGTACCAGTGGAAGTGCATCCGCCTGAGCACCCATGCCACCGTCAACATCATCCACAGGTCTGTCAGCACGCTGCTTGCGAGGCATCTTCGGGGGCCTGCCACTGGCTCCGCTGCCACCGCGGCGCACCGTCCCGCCACCGAGCCAGGGGTCGCCACCAGCAAACCACGGATCTTGACCTCGGACATCTACATCGCCAGGACCTCCATCGTCATCCCCCTCCTCGTCATCACAACCGCCAGGAGAGCCCCCACCAGCAGGTGGGCCAGGAGGACTACCTCCAGCTTCAGGAGGAACCCGCCGAAAAGATATCGAGATGTGCGATTCGCCAGCCGACGTACAATGGCCATGATCAACAACCACTGCATGCGGAAGAGAATCCAATAGTGAAGCCACCAGTTGGAGGGCGAAGGAGTTGAGCATGAGCGAGTCGAACACTGGCAACAACACCACGTTGACGATCACCTTGTCGCAGTGTGAGTTCACCCGCAGCCGGCACTGCCTCCCGAGGGCCAGCTGGTCCGAGGGCCATCGCAGCCGAGCAGCGCACACCATCAGCGCCTGAGGGGGGAACGGGCCGCGGGAAGGCGAGGGGGGAGGGTGGAGCGGGGGCGCACGGGCGCCCCAGTGGCCCTATGCCCAGCACGTGCTCGAGCGACGGGCTAAGGAGGAGGAAGAGGAGGAGGAGGAGGAGGAGGAGGAGATGGAGGAGGAGGAGGAGGACGATGACGACGCCGACGCCGCCGCCGTTGCTGACGCCGGCGACGACGGTACCCCCCGCAGAGCGTCGCGGCGGTGCCCGCGGCAGGTCCAACCAGCTGCGCCAGGCCGCAGCAGACCGCCATGCTGCCGAGGCCCAGCGAGGCCTGGTCCGGGAACAGGCGCTCGGCCTCAAGGGGCGCGACCAGCAGCCTGTGGGCGAGGGGGGTGATACATGGAAACCAACCAGTAAAGATGTAAGCTTTCAGAGCTCTGCGTGGATTTCCTGGATCGGTGCTAGGACCCTGTGGCAGCGCCTCCGGCGCCGTCCCTGGCTTGCTCCGCGTGCCAGGGAGGGATGTGCAGCGCCGATCCAAAAATCCGCGCGGATCTCCGACGACTTATTTTTGTTTTATTCTTCGAGGGGAGAAACCTGAGATCCAGGCGCTATGTTTTTCTTGCACTGGGCATTGCATCCAATTTCGGGCCCTGGGACCATCACAAATCGATCTGGATCGAAAAATACAACGGAAAGATTGGGTCGATGGCTCCTGCCAGAACCGTTGCACCACAGAGGAGGAACGAGGAGGGAGCAGGGAGGGAGGAGCAGGGAGGGAGGAGCATGGAGAGAGGAGGTGGTAAAGGGAGGGAGGGAGGGAGGGGGGGGGATAAAGACAGACACGCCGGGCCTCGAGGGGCGCGTCCTCCTGCCAACTTGGATGTGGCCTCCTCCTACCAACTTGGATGTGGCTTCCCATCTGACGTGGCCGGCCTAATCCGAGGCGGCTGCTACCATAAGAACGCCAGATAAGGAACGACGGGGCTCTTCTTGTCACGGCGAACCTCGGCACCGAATCATTCCCCAGACCCAGATCACAGGAACAGCACGAAAACAAGAGCACTCCAAAAACCAGAAGTAGTCCCTATTTCAACGTCTTGACCGTACTGCTCCTCCTCTTTCTTCCTCCCCCTCCTCCAGGTATCAGCCGTGCTGCTGTTCCTCCTCCTCCTCCTCCTCCTCCTTCGCGTTCGCCTCCTGCTTTTAGCGCTCCCGCAGACCGCCTTGCTGCTGCTGCTCCTCCTCTGACCGTGGAGAGACCTGAGACACGGCTCCCTCCCCCTACCTCGACTAGGGCTCGCTGCGTACCCTCGATGGCGTCTGCGTGTGCGTGTGCGTGTGAGTGTGAGCGGGCGTGTGCGTGTGCGTGTGCGTGTGCGTGTGCGTGTGCGTGTGCTTGTGCGTGTGCGTGTGCGTGTGCGTGTGCGTGCGGTGTGTGTGTGTGTGTGTGTGTTTGTGTGTGTGCGTGCGTGCGTGCGTGCGTGCGTGCGTGCGGGTGTGCGTGTGCATGTGCGTGTGCGTGTGCGTGTGCGTGCGTGTGTGGGTTTGTGTGTGTGTGAGTGTACGTGTGTTTGCCCGACCTTCACTACGCCGCGCCGCCGCGCGCGTACGCCAGAAAGAGAGAGAGAGAGAGAGAGAGAGAGCGTGCGTGCGTGTGTTTATGATTGTCGGTACTTTGTCTTGTTCGTCCCTTACACTTCTTGCGAAGCAGTAATTCGCTCCCACCGACGCATCGGGCCGACCATGCTTGATCCTTTGCTTACGTCATAGCTCCATCGAGCCTTTCGGGGAGCACTCGACAGGACAATCCTGTTGTGAGATCGATCGTGGGATTTGTTGTGAGATCGATGGTGAGATCGCTCGTGCGATCTGTAGTGGGGGATCGGCCGTGAGATCGATTGTGAGATCGGCCGTGAGATCGATTGTGAGATCGATCATCGTGAAATCGATGTTGAGATCGGTTGTGAGATCGATTGAGAAGCCGATAGTGGGAACTGTTGTGAGATCGATAGTGAATTTGAATGTGAAACAATAGTGATTTCGATTGTCAGATCGATGAAATTGATTAGAAGATCGATAGTGTGATCTGTTGTGAGATCGATCGAGAGATCGGTTGTGGGACCGATCGTGGGATCTATTATGAGATCGATGATACGATCGCTCGTGAGATCTAGTGGGATCGCCCGTGAGATCGATACTTCTATTGATTGTGAGATCGAATGTGAGATCGATTGAGAGATCGATGGTGAGATCAATCGTGAGATCGATGGTGAGACCGATAGTGAGAACTGCTGTGAAATCAATACTGATGCCGAATATGATGTCGATAGCGACTTCGATTGTCAGATAGAGAGTTCGTTTGTCAGATCGATGGTGGGATCGATTGGGAGATCCATAGTGGAACATGTTGTGAGATCGATCGTGAGATCGCTTGTGAGATCGATAATGAGTTCGATGGTCAAATCGATAGTGGCATCGATTGCGATATTGATAGTGAGATCTGTTGTGATATATATATATATAACGAGATCGATTGTGAGATTGATCGTGAGATCTGTGGTGAGATCGAAGACTTGATCGATGTAAGAGCGATTTAATGAGACGTTGGTCTCCCCCCGCCCCCGAGCCTCCATGTGACCCCAAGGGTGGTCGCAGAGGTAGGGTACCCTCCTTGAAGCGACCTCGATCTCATACGTCATCCAACTGTACAACCACCCCGCATACCTGTCCATACTGGCCCCGCCCCGGGCAATGCCAAAGGGGGGTCGCCGAAAGGGGGTCGCCATCCGCTCGAGGGCGGCCCCGTAGGATTAGGTCGGGCATGTCCCCTTACAGGCGGACTTTGGACGAGAGAAGGAACATAGTCAAAAGAGACAAACACAAGTCAAAACATAATAGAATCACCAAGGCGACGTACACAACCCTTGCGCAATGCGGGGCATACATACATCAGGATTGCTACAACGGGGGCGACGACGTAACATGGACGCATGTGATTTTGCGAGCAGCAATCGGAAGGCTCGCAGGCCCCCGATGAACATCTAAGGGCTACGTAATAACAAATCACCCCCGTCGGCTGTGCCATGCGCCCGTTGCACCCAATGTATCCCGCAGCAGCTCTTGAGAGCCCCCCAGGGACGGCGAGGTCTCGCTCAGATCCCCGCGGTGCCGCACTCCGCAGGACCCACCAGCAGCACTCGAAAGTGGCGACAATGTCGCAGATCGCAGACCCCCAGGGACGGTGAGGTCCCGCTCAGATTCCCGCGGTGCCTCGCTCCGCAGGACCCACCAGGAACCCTCGAAAATGGCGACAGTGTCGCCGATCACAGCCCCCCAGGGACGGTGAGGTCCCGCTCAGATCCCCGCGGGGCCTCACTCCGCAGGATTCACCAGCAGCCCTCGAAAATGGCGACCGTGTCGCAAATCGCAGCCCCCCCAAGGACGGCGAGGTCGCGCTCAGATCCCCGCGGTGCCGCACTCTGCAGGACCCACCAGCAGCCCTCGAAAGTGGCGACAATGTCGCAGATCGCAGCCCCCCAGGGACGGCGAGGTCCCGCTCAGATCCCCTCGGTGCCTCACTCCCAAGGACCCACCAGCAGCCATCGAAGTTGGCGACAATGTCGCAGATCACAGCCCCCCAGGGACGGCGAGGTGCCTCACTCCGCAGGACCCACCAGCAGCCCTCGAAGGTGGCGACAATGTCGCGGATCGCAGCCCCCCTATGGGCGGCGAGGTCCCGCTCAGATCCCCGCGGTGCCGCACTCCGCAGGACCCACCAACAACCCTCGAAAGTGGCGACAATGTCGCCGATCGCAGCCCCCCAAGGACGGCGAGGTCCCGCTCAGATCCCCGCGGTGCCTCACTCCCGCAGGACCCACAAGAAGCCCTCGGAAGTGACGACAATGTCGCAGATCGCAGCCCCCCAGGGACGGCGAGGTCCCGCTCAGATCCCCGCGGTGCCTCACTCCGCAGGACCCACCCACAGCAGTCGAAAGTGGTGACAATGTCGCAGATCGCAGCCCCCCAGGGACGGCGAGGTCCCGCTCAGATCCCCGCGGGGCCTCACTCCGCAGGACCAACCAGCAGCCCTCGAAAGTGGCGACAATGTCGCAGATCGCAGCCTCCCAGGGACGGTGAGGTCCCGCTCAGATCCCCGCGGGGCCTCACTCCGCAGGACCCACCAGCAGCCCTCAAAAGTGGCGACAATGTCGCAAATCGCAGCCCCCCAGGGACGGCGAGGTCCCGCTCAGATCCCCGCGGTGCCGCACTCCGCAGGACCCACCAGCAGCCCTCGAAAGTGGCGACAATGTCGCAGATCGCAGCCCCCCAAGGACGGCGAGGTATCGCTCAGATCTCCGCGGTGCCTCACTCCGCAGGACTCACCAGCAGCCCTCGAATGTGACGACAGTGTCACAGATCGCGGCTCCCCAAGGACGCCGAGGTCCCGCTCAGATCCCCGCGGTGCCTCGCTCCGCAGGACCCACCAGCAGCTCTCGAAAGTGGCGACAATGTCGCAGATCGCAGCCCCCCAGGGTCGGCGAGGTCCCGCTCAGATCCCCGCGGTGCCTCACTCTGCAGGACCCACCAGCACACCTCGAAAGTGGCGACAATGTCGCAGATCGCAGCCCCCCAAAGATGGCGAGGTCCGCACAAAGCAAGAGAAGAGGGAGACGGGAGGCGGGAGCAGAGAGGCGGGAGAAGGACTGGAGACCGCAGTGCTCTATTCAAAACGTATACCCGACAAAGGAGGGTTGGGACAAATCGTCGCCTGACTATTTGTTGACTATTTCTGAATATTCTTCCTGTCGAGGGACACGCCTGACTTAACCTTAGGACCCCAAACGCCTATAACCTGCTCAACGGCCCCTCGACCGCTAATCCTCGACCTCTTCGCCCTTTAACCCTCGACGTTTTATCCTCGAACATCGGTCCTCGACCTTTAATCCTCAACATCCTCGACCTTTAACCCTCGACCTTTAATCCTAGAACATCGGCCCTCGACCTCGACCTTTAATCCTCAACCTCTTCGACCTTTAATCCTCGACCTTTAATCTTCGAACATCGGCCCTCGACCTCGACTCCTCGACCTTCAATCCCCAACCTCCTCGACCTTTTACATCGGTCCT